CGGCAAAACACCTTCTCCACCAACCAACCAAGCCCCCGGGGGGGGAGCCTTCCCCCCCCTTCTCTTTCCGGCGGGGGGGGGGGGGGGGGGGCCCCCCCCCCCGGTCGGTTTGGGGGGGGGGAGGGAGGTGGTTCACCCCCCCCCACGATTTGTGGAGGACAAAACTGGAGGAACTATCCTATGACAGAACTTTGCAGAGCGAATGCATCAGAGTCGAGCAAAGAACTGGCAAATCCAGGTCTCAGGATCTAAACATGTCAATTCCAAACTACGGTCTTCATATTTATGTCGCAGCCAGTCTGAAGTGGTTGACCTATAGAGTCTGTTGCATGCAAGTCGGGACTGTTGTCTTGGAGCCCCCTTGGAATTAAGTGGGGTGGGTGGGTACACCATTTTTATATTTATAAAATGCTGCATATGACATCCAAAATGAGAGGCTGCATTTTGAGCTCTATAGCATTGAGGATTGTGAAACTGAAAATCATGGCAAGCTCTACAGAATTGGGTTGGGCACATGGAAAATAGGCGTGTTTTTGTTTTTCAATTATATATTGGGTAGTAGGACCTCTATAGAATAGCAGGCTTTGGGTTGCAAAATCTGACTACGCTGGAAACAGGACCTCTAGCAACCTATTCCTGCATGAAAGCTACCACAATTCTATAGTAATTACTTCAGCATGATCATTGAGCAAACACATGTCCAGCATCAGGCATGTGACCTTGGAAAGACACAGAAACCATCCGCAAATACAAAATCTATAGAAGTGAGACCCTTGACATGTAAAGTTCAATCATTGCGTGACTATAAAGTCAGATTTCTTGACTTTGCCAAGAAATGTGTTCATACACAATAATTCTCTATAGAATCGAGGCCCGTAATTTCCAGTGTTCTCTATAAATTCAGACTCTCTGACATGCCACCTCCAACATGAGCAGATCATTCTTTATATAAAATGTTTGTCTTGTGATGGTATCATCATATTTCCCTCGTTTAAAGTTGAAACTCTTTCCTAAAAATATTTCACAGGCAAGATCTGCCGTGGCGGCAACTTGTTCTTCTGCGCTTCGTAGACCCTTCTGAGGTCATGGTCACTCCTCCAGTCATGGTGGTTCCTGTTCCCACTTCTTAAGGCCTTTCTCCAAGGCTAGGGATCTTCATCCATCACTGTCTCTATGAGCAGGTTTCCAGAGCTTTGGTGAAGTATTCGCCAAATTCGCAGTGTATGGTTCTGCATCAAGAGCGTATCTGTCTCCCCTTTCCAGTTGAACCTGCTCATGGTGTGACTGGATATATTGGAACATGTTGCTGGCGACTTTTTCCTTCCCTTCATCCCAGATGGAAAAGTAGGAAGGCATGATAGCAAACAAATCTTGGCGGGCCTTCTCCAAAAACTTTTTGAAATCTGGCACTAGCTTGGTGTATAGAATGTGTTGCAGTGCTCATATAGTCTTCTGGAGCGCAGGCTCCATGTCATAAATTGCTGTCGGCGGCGCTAACAAAGAGATGCCGCCAACCTCCGTTTTAATACCACTGCCACGGTTAGAGCCGGATTCGGAAACTAATCGGTCGGATTCTGAAACTAGGGTTCTGAAACTGGGGTTCTGAAACTAGGGTTCTGAAACTTGGCTTCTGAAACTAGGGTTCTGAAACTGGGGTTCTGAAACTAGGGTTCTGAAACTTGGCTTCTGAAACTAGTATTCTGAAACTGGGATTCTGAAACTTGTATTCTGAAACTGGAAAGTCAGATTCTGCAACTGGTATTCTGAAATATTCTGAAACTGGAAGTCAGATTCTGCAACTTGCCTTCTGAAACTTGCAACTGGAGATCTCCACATCATGCAATAGCGTGTGCCTGTGACATCACCTTTGAAGCACATCCAAACCAACGTCATTAGACCCCCACCCAACCCCCCCCCACCCCCCCCATCCCCCCTTGTCCCCATCGTGTGATCTTGACATCACGTCAACCCCCTCATCATTCAAGTTGCGGAATCCTAGTGAGGGAATCCACAATGTTGCGGAATCCTAGTTGCGGAACGCCAGTTGTGGAATCCCAGACAGTTGCGGAATCCTAGTTTCGGACTCCTAGTTGCGGAATCGTAGTTGCGGAATCCCAGTTGCGGAATCCCAGTTGCGGAATCCTAGTTTCGGAATCCTAGTTGCGGAATCCCAGTTGCGGAATCCGACCAAACAGTTGCGGAATCCTAGTTGCGGAATCCTGCGCAGTTGCGGAACTCGACTTTATCCCCACTGCCACTGCCAAATAGTTTACCTCTGACCTTTCGAAGTCCGAGGCATGGATGCGGGGTGGGGTCTTAAGAAATTTGAAGCTCAGCTGGGGCCTTGCTTTCTTCTGCAGCTTCGGCTGACTGGGCTGGAGGCTGGTTCGTGTCCCAGCTTCCAGAATTCAAGGTCCAACCTTACACCACATCGCGCGTCACTAACTTGAAAGGACGAAAATGCCTTACTGCCTGGCAAAGACATCTGCACAGCTCAGCCGTTGCGAGTCTGTCAAATCGTAAAAGCCCATGATCTTGTCATGGAGACCAAGCCCAATCCTACCCCTTTTCGTGGTGTGTCGGCTTCTCCAAGCACCAGCACGGTGATGCTGAGCTGCATTGCACTGCACACATCGGTGCCCCGCGAAGCTGAACCAATCAGCTTTTGTTCGCACCCTTGTGCACACCACAGTGCCGAAGGGCACATCTGGCAGGTCAAAACCGCAGGGTCCCTTGTAGATATTCTCAATCCTTTACCACTTGCAGCGAGTAGTAGTGAAGCCGTGCACCAGGTAGGTGATGAGATGTGATGAGGCCAAGTAAAACGGCGGGCGGAGTAGTATGGTCAAACCTTCATGCAGAATGCGGTGCACCGCCGCACCGCACAATGCTGAATTGATGTCTCCTGACTCTAGGATCTTTCCATTTAGCTGGGAAATTAACACTCTGAAGGAGGTCCAAAACGACAAGCAAACGACATCAATATATCACACATGTATGTATGTATATATTCTTGTATTTACATAGCTTTAGATCTCATATCGTACAGGGGGTCCTTTATGCATGTGGACGCACGCTGTGTGATTGGGAATGCATTGCGAAGGGGGCTCTAAATGCGACTGGTGTACATGAATGAGGTGGATGATGACCTGCGGTCAACGTGCGTAATACTGCAGGAGGAAGAACGTTTGGTCCCAATGGAAACCCGGCGGATTAGTTTCCACCCCGAACTAAATCATAATACTATAAATACTACTATATATATAGATTTATATTAATTTACTTTGGGGTGGACAATGGTGGACACTAATCCACCAGCATTCCACTGTGATCCCCTGTAGGATTCTAAAGGGAACGGGTTGTAGGTTCTGTACTCACAAGCTTGTTACCAAAATGTGTCCTGGCCGTGTAGAATTTTTGTGGTTTGTCTTGCAGAAAAAGACCAAACACTAGTGATCATATCTATATGTCTATATGAATTTATCTGTGAACCCGCATGGTTATCGAGTTCCCCAAAAGCGATGACAAAACACAAGATCCACACAACCCAGTCGTGGCCGCCGCCCAAAACACGGGCGTGGCCGGGCGCCTCTCTCTTCAAGTTCTCGACCTCCTCCTGACGCCAGGAAGAAAACTCTGCTCAACACATGCCTAGTACTCCAACCACGTCCTCAGAAAGTACTTAGACACCCAAACCCACCCAGATAGCTGAAAAGAGTCGCAACTGTGAAACGATCCGGCAGGTGACGAGAAGTTGAGTCGGGTTGAGATCCAGGAGCTCGGCTCAGAGTAGCAAAATAATATGCACTGAGACTCAGTTTTTGCAGCGACAGCGACATGCTGACATGCGTTGTGTCTGAGCGAAGTGATCCTCTGTTCGTTGGCTCAATGTTTGCTGAATTGTATTGTGTTCTTTGACTATTATCCAACCTTGTATTTGAAGGTAGATTCTACTGACACACACTTCTTTACGACACGTTTTTTTGTTGAAAAACTAGTCTATTTAAACTTACATATATAACCTTTTTATTTGACAAATTTTGCTGCTTTGGTGATCGATATGTGGAAGCTTTTGTCTGAAACAATCATTTCGTCCCGGTTGCTTTCTAGCTTTGGCTCAAAACTGAATGCTGGTACACCCTTCTATATAAATTTAATGAAACTGATTCCTCTTGTTTTCAGCGCTTGTACATGCTTGTACTGATCAAGAAGCGCCCAATATCCTTTGCTGAAAGAAAGAAGAAAAGGAAGCACGAAACAAACGCAGAAAAAAGACGAAGCAGGAAGAAGCAAAAAGAAGAAGAAAAAGGAAACAAGGATCAAAATACGATAGGTTGTGCAGGAACGGGTGGAACTCTTGCTGGGGGTCCGATCTGCACCTTGGAAGTAGCTGAAGCCGGACAAGGTGCAGTGCAAGGATTAGCGGAACCCTTGAGCCTTGCTTTGCAAGCTACTGGTATATGATCCCTTCTTACCCCTGGCTTAAGGGTAGCACCTCGTGCATGTGTGTGGTCGATATATCTGAGTCTGTCCGTTGAAGATAGGCTCTGTATGAACATTCGTCTTTCTCATGATTCCGGTCAAGTCATCCATCCTATTCCAGGGTCGCTGACTAGAGACTTGAGATAATAGCCAAGGGCCAACCATTCTTGGACGGACCAAAGTACACTAGTTTTAGACCTGGCAACTGGTATGATCTTGTCTCTTATTCCCTACATCACCAATAACTAGAAGAGCAAGGTACCTTCAGTTTGTACTTGACCAGAAACAAAAGAGAGAACACAAAAAGACACAAACACATAGTCAAACCAAACAAACATGTGTTCGGGTTCTGGGCACGGCCCGGAACGCCTGGATGAAAGGATCCCCAAAGCGCAACAGGAGAGTCTGGAGCAGCTCCAGAATCACTGTCCTAGGTCCGGCAACAGGCGAGTGAGGTGACAGGCGGGAGGAGGTCTTGAGTTAAGGCGATCCCAAACAGATCGTTTCACCATGTCCAAAGACCAATTCGAGCTCCACTTCGGTGTGAAACCGCCAAAAGATGTCAGTTTCGGATGCGTCTCCAGCAATCTGAGTGGACTTTCTTTGGAGATTTGATGTGGACTTTGCTCTTCTCCGGGTGATCCAACTCGACGCGGAGCCTACGCATGAACGATGCAACAACCCGAAGTGAATCTGGTGATTGAGGGATGATGAGACTTGAAATAGCATCCAAATCAACCCCAAAAAAACAGAACACCTGCAGGTTTGAGACTAGCAGTATCTTTGTTTCCTTCCCCAGCTTGTGATCGCACGACATGATCTCGCCTGATCTTTGAGCCGTAATGATGATGGTTCCTAGTTGTTGATTCCAACCTCTGGCATGCAAAAGTGAGTGATTACTCATTCCGCTGGACCCTCGCAGATGGAGCCACTGATGCGGAGTGCTGTTGGATCCAACCCAAGCAATTGCTGGGTGACAGAAGGGGAAACATCCTTGTTCCGGGATTTTGTGAAAACAACGCCCCCTATCGGACCCAGCTGCATCCAACTAAGTTAGGTTTCAACTTCAGTTCACCCCAGTCATGGTCACATAGTCATCTAGAAGTGCGATAGGAAGACGTTGTCACGATTTGCTGTAGATTTCTCTCCTACGTGGTTTGCTGTCTATTGTTTGGTGTACAACGCCTGGGTCTTTTCCTGGCTGGAGCGAGCGATTCCTGAGGGAGGCACTTGGTCTGAGGTTTGCTTTCTGATGTGGTGGCAGCAAATCGTTCATAGTCATCCTCCTGACAGTGATCGCGTGCGAGACACTCCGTCTTGTCATCGAACGCAGTCCATTTCCAAGCTCAGGGCGGCTTTCACCAGGGTGAGACAAACACCCTGGGAATGGGGGGTTCCATGATTTTCCGCCTTGTTGATCTTTGTTGACTGATCACTGGACCAGGTTCATCTTTACAACCTTTAACAAAGAAGGATGGACCAGTGATCGACATAAAAACTACAGTCCACACCTAGGAGGTTCTGAGTTGCGAAACAAAGCTACTGAAATAATGCCATTCCCTAGGGCTCCTGGCCTACCTCCGTTTCGAAGATGGGCCAGGGGAGGGTACCAGGGGGTCACCTGAGGATATGGTTGGAGCCCAAATGGGATTGTAATCATCCTCATCACCCCCAAGCTTTTGCACTGGCCCACTTCAGGGCACACCGCCCCAATGGCGCCACACAGGAACGGGGCGCGCCCCACCGCCGTTGGCGTCTCGCACGTTTTGCGTCTCGTTCCAAAGGCTTATGGTATGGAGCAGCTGTGAGAAAAAACGGCTCAAGTTGTATCCCGTCGACTAGTCTTTTTCATTCCGACCCAAATCCAAATTCTTCTGCACGTGATCATGTCACGACTGGGCATGGGGTAACTGGCACTGCGCTTCAACGGCTTCGACCTTGTTGGGTATCTCGGGGGGGCATCTTGGATCCAATACCTCTCTACACCACTTAGAGCCATCTCTGGCCCGGTCACACCAGTCACGCACCGCGGCCTCCACGATCTCTGGGTACTGCGACTCACCAAACAAGACCTCCTTGATAATGGTGCCTGTTGGAAGAGAGGTGTTGAAAGGTGTTCGACTTTCCTGGTGTTTCCTGGTCTTGCCCCGAGTCTCCCACCCGAAACACGATAGATAGAGCATGCATGGGTGTGTTTCAGCCTTGAAGCTGATGTTGCTACAGGTCTTCAATTTGAGACACGAACACCAGCTAGATCTGCCGATTACCCAGCTGATAGAACAAGAAAGACCTATCAAAGGTCAAAGGTCTTCTCACACAGATGTCGGCTCTGTGCCCCCCTCTTTGTGCTTATCGAGAAGGTACTAAATTACTGCCTTGAAACCAAATTCTGTATGTGCATGTCACATGAATCATGCCAAACATCTCAAACCGGGCCAGTGAGTCACCAGTGAGTCTTCTTTTTACAACAAAATTAAGGAATCATTACCCAAACACTCCATGCGACTGCCATATATGCCGATCAATTGACCCCCTGGCACCACCCCAACTGATCAGGCATATATGGCAGTCCCATGGGTCGTGTCTAGGATGGAATGAAGAAGATCCCGATCCGGCGCCTGCCAGACTCGAACGATCGAGCGAGTCACCTCGGCTTTTTCAATCACCTCTTCGGGTTCGTAGCGGCCAAAACACCGTGGGCCCCTGGCACAGGATCTGTCACTCAAATCGCCAGGCCTCCAAAAGAGTGTCGTTCCTGTGGCTTTGACAGAAAAACCATGAATGAGCCTGCCGTTTGCGTATGTTTATAGGCCAGTGCTTACAGGACCTTAGGAGCCATCTCTGGTCGTTCAGTATGGCTTTCGGAAACCTTGTTTCCCGGACCCCACTCGTCGGCCGCATTGCAACCAACTTGCTATTCACGAAAATGTCCGCATCGGTCTTGTATCTCTCATAGGCCTTGCGGCAGCTCAGCAGCTGATGGTTTCCGGAGGAACATCCAAGCGGGCAATTCATTGCCAGTGACGCGGTAGGTCCCTCACTTCACCTCTCTTCGTTGACTCCTAGTCCCAATCGAGAATGATCGACTATGCCTCTTAAATGCTGAGGTGAAGGTGGTGACCTCCAGTGAAGGTGCTCCTTGGGGAAGAACACCTTGCTGCCTGATTCTTCAAATCTGGCTCAGATTTAGAAGTAAATACAACTAAATGTCCAAGACCTACCCCTTTGTTGAGCCAGGTTACTTACCCCTATTTAGAGCGCCCAAAGCTGCACGAAACAATTCCCAACTGTAAGTCACCAGCCCTCCAAAAATATGTGACTGCTTTGATCGATGAAAGGGGTCAGCCTCATGTGATGAAAAACATACATACATATCCGTCAAGTAATCAACCCGCCGAAACTCATTCCGGGCAGGATGCAGTTGAAGCCAAAAAATCAGTGTTTACAGTGTTTGTTCTAAGTGTTTCATTTCTCCCCATGAACGGCCATGCCGCAACAGCGCCTGGATCATCTGTTCGACGCCTTCCTCGGAGCAGGGGAAGCCATATTCTGGGATCACCTGCAGGACGATCCCGAACGTCCCAAAAACCAGCTGTCATTAGCTTCTAGCCTACCTGGGATTTGTTTTGCTTTCGTTCCTTCTCTCTTTCTGTGGCCTTATTGTCGTCTCCTATTTTCGGCGATCCGAAGAATTTCTTTAATTCTGCCACCATCTCCCAGTCGCAACAAAGGTGCAAAAAAGCCCAAAAGATCCGGTCAAACCCACGAGAGATGTCGGAGCGTCTCACCGGGTTCAGATCGCCCCAAAATCGTTGGGATCTATGGCCTATGGCCCCTCTGTGCGTTCGTAGTAGAGGAGGAGGAGGAGCAGGAGGAGGAGGAAGCATGAAAAGAAGAGGAAGGGAAACGTCCACGGAACCGGTAATTTCATGGCAACTAGACACTTCAATGTTCGGTCCTCAAAGCCTTTCAAGGACTGGAGACAAGCTAAAAGCATCAAGGACACCGCCGAATTTGTTTCACATGAAAACAAGCGAACGTGTTTCGGCGAAGAAAACAGTGAACACATGTCAGTTCTTTCTGACCTCAAAATTGGACACACAAAATGTAAGGGTAATTGTAGACTCTTGATTAATAAAGCCACCCCATCTGGATTGAAACGGGAGAGTTTATTGATCGAGAGTCTACATTATGGATGTGTGACCAAGCCACTATATCATTTTGAGCAGTGCTGAAGAGTAAGGACTCTCTTTATTCAAGCATACAATCTGGCCCAAAACCCAGAAACAAAGTTCAAACTTCCTGGGAGTACTAGGCAAGTGAAGCCCGAAACCGTTTTGTCCATGTGCAGTGCCGCAATGATTCAACAAATAAAGCTGTAAATATGCATTATCCATAGAATAGGGCATATCACCAAGATCAATGAAAGCCTATGACAGTTCTTTCTACAATCGCACTGAAGTGATGATACTATGGTGCGAACACCATCACCTTCCAAAAACGGAGACGGCCGGTCTGGAGAACAACTGTTGCATATATTCATTTATATATATATATAATATTCATATATCATATATCCATTTACATGTACGATAGACCTCCCATGCAGCTGGTCTGCCTGGAGACAGATTGCCAACCACTGCGCCACTACCGCAGAGCGCGTCCCCACTGCCACGCCGCCAGGCCTCGAACTGGGCCTTCCGCACGAGCTGCTTAAAGCCCGCGCGTGCCCGGCGATCGGTCCCTTTACCTCGGCAGCAAGCCGTGGGGCATCCCATCGAGGATCAGTATGGCACATCCCAGACGACACGACTAATGGGACTGGCAAATGAATTACATACAAACAGGGGGTGGTTGACAAGGGGTCAATTGATCGGCATATATGGCAGTCCCATGGAGTGTCTGGGAATCATATCGTCTTTTGTTTCGTTTTGCTTTTGGGAGTGCAGTCCTGTTCGGCCGTAGAGGCATCACACCATGGATCCTCTTTCGTTGGATCTGCCTTCCTCCGTTTTCGACAAAAAAGCAGGTCCGAAGCGAGGACATCCTGAGGTGCTGGTCCCCTTCATCAGTTCGGACTGTTTCTCTACCGTCCTCTACGAGTCAGGTCAGGACGTCCGTTGGTCCCGTTGGGTTCATGATGCGTCAAGAAACACCGGGGACGAGGCCCCGAAAATCCTGTCCGGAGTCTCGGATTGTTGAAACAAAAGGATACAAAAGGCTACACAGAGATTGTGGAGCCATAGATTCCTTTATATCTGTTCCTATGTTTGTTTGCCTTGGCATTCCTGCTTTGCAAATAACACCAAATAGCCATGGCTCACTCAGCTCGACCTCGCAAGGTCATCTCTATTGTGGTGTTCACCTACTCCAGGGGAGTCTCCTCTCACATTGAATCCTCTCAAACACAGCCCCAAAACCAAATGCGTGTTCGAACCGCGAAAGCAAAACAACACAAAACCAAAAAGAAAAAAACAAAATCAAACAACTAAACTCCGACGAGTGGTCCAATCGCCACATTCATCGCGCTGTGGGTGGTTTTATGCCCCGCTCGTCGCTTCCCAGACGATGCGGTTCACGACGCCCGGGACGACGCCCGGAACCGACGGAAGCGAGCGATCGCTGAGACCGCCAGGTGACTGGCGCGATACTTTCGCCCAAGCTCCTGCGACCGGTCGGAGATCGGTCGGTAGATCCGGGGTAGAGGGTTGATCTGATTACAGTGGATGATGGGGCCTGGTTGAAGGTGTTCCAAAAGAATGATACTTGTTTACTGACTGTTACGGGCAATAGGACAAAGCCAATTGATACCTTTTTTGGGGGGGTATACACGGAGGTTCATTAATCATGCTGCCATCCCCATGATGTCTTAGCCTTTCTATGCCTTTCTGATGCTTCTTATCAATAGGCCTACCAGTTCCCTTATGATCCATTATGGTTTTGCAGTTTGTTTCCAGGGTTCAGGATTTATATAGATGATTTCCTTTTAGGCCTTGTTTTGTTTCTTACCTTTTGAGACACTCCTAGTCCTGCTCCTACTCCTCCTCCTACTACTACTGCTACTACTTGGTCATCCGACTCTTCCTTATCCCTTGCTTCCTATCAACCTTCCGAGTACTGAGGGGGAGCAACATGAGAAGGACAGGGCCTACAATTGAAATGTATATGACATGTTATATATATATACTATCCTCCCTGTATGTGGAGCTGTTTTGCACCATGAGGACATGTGCAAGCCCCATCTCATCAGTCTACGATGCTGTCTTGGCAAACATGGAAATAGCTTCAAACAAGCGTTGCCAACCTAAATGTTGCAGGCATTTGTCGGTGTGCGGCACACAAAATTGCACGAATCCGCCTGTTATCTAATTCTAACTTGAGGATAACTGTGGATGGGAAGGGGATCTGTGCCCAAGAAAGACTTGCAAGTCGAGAACCAATTCTTCTTGAGGGAGTAGCGTATTAGAACATAGCATGGTCGGGGTGCCTTCCAGTCATTTGAGGTAAACAATTCAGAGGAACCTGCACAGGCGAGGCTCTCTATGCTTTTGATTCAGTGCCTCACATGGACGACACATCCTTGATGGGTCACGGGCGACAACAAACCTTGCGTGGATGGACCCAGGAAATTGGAACATGTTCTTCATCAAGGGCGCCCACTGTATAATATGCACTTCCACTCTTTGAAAGAGCCTGGAAGTGCTTTTGTAGGCAGCAGCCAAAACTATGCGGCCAAGATGGGGCCCATGATTGCCCAAGAGGGATGCCGGATGGTAACGGATTGCAACAGTGTTGCTGTGGTGAAGTGATGAGAGCTTCTTCTCAGCCGCGAACACGGAACACTTTGGTCAGCGTACGACCTTTGCCTCTGTGCATATTGCCTTAAGCGAGCACCTCTAGCTGCAAGGTCCATCGATCTGCAGATCGAGCGAGGTCCATCCATCCCTCGTAACATCTCGTGGCATACGTCGTTCAGTTCGTTCAACTCGTCGTCTGATCCAAGGCACATGCAGTGTGAGCTGAAAGCTGGGCGATGTAAAGGACTCCAAGAGCTTCCTTGGCGAAAGCGGCGTCGCAGGTGTCTGTGCGTGGGTCAGGTTTAAGCATGTCAAAGGCTTTTTAGAGATCCATACCTGAAGGGTCATCTTGGTTGGGATGTCTACATGAACTGCGACTTGCTCGGGTTTCCGATATGTCCACTGTCCACTCGACATGAAGAACCAACATGAACAACTTAGCTTGAATAAGAAGGACAAAACAAAAACATGCCAGTCAACCCATCCTTTTCCTTCGCCCTCGACTGAAATAGGCTCCAAAGAACTGCTGCAGCTCCAAGGCTTTCCTCAGACAGCCAAGAGGCGACGTACTGAATCGATGGGTATGGCCAACCACCCTAAATTCAACAGAATATATAGAACCTCGGAGTCAAAAAACAACAAAAACAATGTTTTTTTCAGCGAACATGAAAGGGAATGTCCTTTACTACACTAAGGAAAAGTATAGTCGTTGGATTTCTGGTAGGGTTGCTGCATATTTAGAAAGGGTCGTCTAGTAGGAACAAAGCAAACCAAGCATTCCGTTCTGGGTTTCTCTTGGTTCTGTGACTGGCACATAGACAGTGAAGGATATCCGATTTGCCAATTCAAATTGTGCCCAAACTCTCCATGTTTGTGGGTCGGAGGAAAAGGAATTAGCGGCCAGGGCCACGTCCAGCATGATTTCCAGGTAAAGTAAATATCATCAATCATGTTGATTGTTTGATATTGTTTGTGTTTTATACCATTCCGATGCGGTGGCAACCAAACCCAGCATCAAAAGTGTGTCCTTTTCCAAGTGGATGATGGTAAGTCAAACGAATACTCTTTCCACTTGTGAGTCGTGTGCACTCCCACGCAGAGGTTGAATCATACGATAGTTAGACACTGATACAACCTATTGTAGCTGATATTATCAAGTCTGGATCAACAAAATCAATTAATCCGAGCCAACCAATATCTCAAACAGCTATACTTTTGCATATCCACCAGCTGTACAGTTGTACCAAGTCTATAACAACAATCACATATGATACCCTAATCATCTCTAATCCCTAACCCTGAACCCTGAACAGAATCATATGACATCACCCCCCTCACAACAATAAAAGGTCAAGGTCCCTCAAAACTCCTCAAAATCCCAAAGCACCCGAAAAAGAAAGAGGCAACACCGAGCTGCTCCTTGGTCCAATCCTCCAATTCAGAGGCTTCGCTCCAGCCTCAGAGTCGCTAACTTGGTCGTTTTTCTTCACGAAAGTGGTTTGCTCAGTGGTGAAAACACCCATGGCGGTTGCCCAATTCCCACGTGTGGTGAGGTCAAACTGAAAATAGATTTCGGATGATTTTGGAAAACCAGATCAAGTGCCACACAACCCAGAGGTGGATTTGTCGGCTCTAAGGTTGGAAAACAATAATTAACTCATCTCCACCATGTCTTTCCTTGATTCAAAACTGCTGTACTCCAGAAAAAAAAGAGAACTGCCCAAATCTACAGGTCTCGGTCATTTGGGACATCTTCAGCTGAGCCCATGCATGTCGTCAGCTTCGCTGCTTGCCGGGTGGCAGTTGCTGGTCGGCGATTCCAAGGCATGAGACGCTTCTTCACTGGTGACCTCGAAGAAGAGGCTCCAGTGGTAAACCGGTGGTTGTCCGGTGTTCGGTGATTCCAGGTCTATTTCAGGTCTCTTTCAGGTCTTCATCAGCAATTCTTGGGTCTGTTTCCCCCAAAAAAGAGCTTGGCAATGCAAGGATTTGATGGTCCAAACCAGGGGGCTCTGATTTGGGTCTAATGAACAGAATAGACTTCTTCGTCGGACTCACCTGGATGAGGAAATGGCCTTGTTACTAGTGATGCACTCATCACTAGTAACAAGTGCATCGCTAGTAGTAACAAGGGCATTGTTACTAGCAGCGATGCACTTGCTAGTTACTAGTAGCTTCTTGCTACTAGTATAGCCCTCAGTTACTAGTTTTGTAGGGTGCTCCTGCCGCCTTCGCCGGTTCTTCGTAGACTTTGACAACATACATCTGTTGTGACACTGAGGAAGCAGCACACAGCAGCGGCGGCGTTCAGGGCAGCTTGCAGAGTTGAGTTGAGTCAACAATTGTGGAGCTGTACTGAGTCCTTTTGAATGGGGTTGCAATTCTGTAAATTATGTTGGTTTCGTTGAAGTGTTGTGTTCCACCAGCTTTTTGGATTCACCCTGCATGTATCTTGTATGAACTACGCGAGGATATTGGGTGTCATGTTATGTTCAACAACTCATGTAAAAATCATTGCCTTGTCAGCATCTGGCCTAGCTCTGGTGGCTGTATCGAACTCTTGCATCAATCCTCAGATGCAAACCAACGAGCGTACGCAACCTAGCTCAATTGCGATTCTCTCGCAGCTGAAGTGCAGTAGAGCACTTTGGTGAAGATGCTGCACTTGTGACTCCTTGGCAGGTGCATGGATCGCAACAAACAAAGCTAGCTTAGGGGCTAGCTTGGATGTGAAGTGCTTCTTGAGGACTCGACTAGAGTTCCTTTGAGGACCTTTTTGTCACTCCTTACACGTCCACTGTTCCTCTCTTCCTCAGTGATGAGCGGACCATTCGTGAAAGGAAGTCGGACAAAGGAAGTCGGACGAAGGGCCAAATCGTCGTCGAAGGACGGTGGTCAGCTTCGGTAGGACCATGATGAACTTTCACAGCCACAGACGAACTCGTTGGTCTGAGAAACAAATCCCACCCGGGGGGAAGGTGTGGGGAAGGTCCCAACCCGAACACAAGGGTGTCGGACGGTCCATGGGGATCGCCGTATCTCTCTCGGGGGTATAGGGTAGTCACGGGTAGGGTAGTCATCTCCACATTCTTCGGAATATCCAATAGCACAGCGGACAGTGTCATGCCACATGCCGCTTGTAGGTCGAAACGTGGCGGGCAGCCTGGCAGCTTTTCAAAAGGTTCTTCTGCTAACTGGTTTGAGCCCTCTTGGTTGTTCCATCTTGTCTTGGCAAGTCAATGAAACATCGCTAACAGCACTGCGGGCGCACAACATAGCACCAAGTTCACGTTGGATCCTTGCCGAAAACGGTTCCTGCACCACCCTATATAGACTAGAGGCACTTCTCTTTATCTGCACGGGCCCAGTAGGATGTTCGAATGCACCTGATGACCCCTGGAACGTTTCAGAAGCGTCCAGGTGGCGAATGGGCCGCTCGACCTTCGCCGTCTCCAAATGTCGGACACGGCGAACAGGCGGCTCTGCGCAGCCAAGGAACTGGAGTGGATTTTGGTATCCTCAGATGGACACAAGTTCCTAGAAGCGTCCGATCGCTCCTAGTAGTAAGGCCAGGGGCCCGGTTCGTAGCGTCCTTGCTCCTAGTAGCGATGCCTTTTGCTCCTAGTAGCGTCCTCTACCCCCCTATTATGCCCTACATGCCAGTTCGTGTTGCGCCACTGTGAGTGGGGAGGCACATCAAAGGACATATCAACAGTCTAGAGCAAACCGCTGTACTCTCTCCACAAAGAATGAGAAGGAGAAACTCAGGCTATGGTGGGATATTCAATGATATTCACCGATCTGGTTTGAGACCCACACTGCCTGGCAATGTGGTGCTACATTATCGTGCCAACGAAGCCCGTGCAACAGCGGCGACTCTGAACGGCTGGAGTTCCAAGGTCCTCACGACCTCACGATCGACTTGATGTACACCGATT